ATTCTGTCCGTGCGCGGGATCCAAACCTAAAACAAGTCCAGAAGCACCCGTGGGAGGTGGGTGGGGTAGGGCCCCTCAACGTGGCCCTGGAATCTATCACAACGGAACGAGTGGGCGTTGTCTCACAGACTCCCACAGACCCAAGTCAATTTTTGAATTTTTTTAGGTTTAGCACGTGCTAAGAGGTCGTACCTTTGACACAACATCCAGTGCTGGGACGTCCGCAGCAAGCCATTTCCACAGCGCTGCACACCAAATCCAGGATACCCTCAGAAACCGGCAAAGACTACCACTCACGACTACCACTCACGTTCCCCTACTGCCTAGTACTGAATCCTACCTGACTTCTTGACACGACTCGAACTTGCCAAAGTCACTAAATCAACGTCAACTACAATAATCAAGCCACATAACTGCAACGTCACGAGGATGCGAGTGTCCTGCTGCTGCACGGCGGCGTGGCTCAAAAACGTGATTTTTTGGACGGAGCAAAATTCTGCACACTTTTGCGTGTTTCCATGATACGACAAGTTGCGCACGGTCTGCTCACATTCAAATACAGTACTGTCAACAAATGACAGCGTGCAACCAAAAAATCTTTCATTGCAAGGGCACATTTTCGGCCATAACTCTTGAACGGCTGGTCAGATCGGGACACAATTTTCAGAGAATTTGCAGCTATCCATGCTCTTTCAACTGACGCAGTGCTCAATATGAATTTACAAATTCGATTTTTCAGCGAATTTTTGGGTAGTCTGCCACCATAAGCCGTTCAGCTTGTGGGAGCGGTTAATAGGGTAAACACGAATATGATGTTTCAATGGAGAACTGTTTTTACAAACAATTGTTTTGGGTCTTCGGGTTTATCGATCCTTTCTCGAGCACACTGGCGATGTTTTGTTTGGTTTCAAAATTTGTTGCGTTGGATATGTGATCTCAGTAGTGTCCAGTTTGAGCTCATTGTACACAGCTCGTGGAGAGCTTTCCAGAATGCCCAAGAGTGTGAAAATCGGTTGATTATAACCAAAGATATTCTCAGAATGAGGTGAGAAATATCGTATTTTGAACTGCCTGGGAATTATGGTCAGAAGGTAAAGAGTTAAGGGGGCAGCCTACCCATAAATTCCTGCCACCATAAGCCGTTCAGCTTGTGGGAGCGGTTAATAGGGTAAACACGTATGAGGTTTCAATGGAGAACTGTTTTTACAAACAATTGTTTGGGGTCTTCGGGTTTATCGATCCTTTCTCGAGCACACTGGCGATGTTTAATTTGGTTTCGAAGTTTGTTGCTATTTTCCACAGTGAGACAGGTGGAAAGAAGAGCCAATGTGCACGTTCAAGTACCCTTTTTAAGGGTAACAGTGCTGTGTAGGCGTGTTTGAACATCTGGTTTCTTGTACGTGTACTACCTCCGAGTACGTATCACAAGGTATCTACATGTATGCAGGTTCGATTCCTGGAACGCACATGATGATTTATTAGGAGACTTTTTTTGGAATAATTTTTGGTTTTTCCGTAATCAGAGTGTGCAGTTACCTGTTTTTTTTTACGCGCGTCCTTCACCACGATCTCCCACCAGAAAAGGGTCAGAATGGCAAGCATCGACTTTCGTGACCTAGATAGCGAAGGTCCTGAACTGGAGCCCCAGGTAGCAGCTTGAATCAGAGTCATCAGACAGTTCTACTCGACAGATGGCCAAAGCACAACGCTGTCACCTCAAGCAACTGGTCCCACGTCCGGGTGAAGGACAACAATACGAACGTAGAAGTTGCGATATCGTGAAGTGACTGAATTCCCAGGTAGCAGCTTGAGTCCTGGATTTGTACTCTGCCCATTGCCATGATGTGGACTTTGAGTTTTGTGAAAGTACAAGACAATAATATGCAAGAGAAATACCAAATTCAAAAGCATACGCTGAACCTTTGGGAGATGTCCTATAGTGGCTGCTAAAATAATATTCCAAATTGATAAGAAGCCCTATGTATGATCCCGATATAGCAGGTGTGTATATACCAGCCTCATTGGGCATCTGCCCTTGTTTTTCGGATGCCATTCTACGCTCCTTCTTCGAAAGGATCTGATTATGCCAAACATTATGCCAGCATAATCCACTTACCCCTACCAGTCACCCATCTTCTCCACTGAACATGACGGGTCTTCGGCTTTTGCGACTCTTTCTCCAGCACGCTGGCGATGTGTTGTTTAGTTTCCAAGTTTGTCACTATTTTCTACAGTAAGACCGGTGTTAAGTCGAGAAAAGAGCCAATGTGCACGTTCAAGTACGGCCTTTAAAGGTAACATTGCTGTGTTGACGCGTTTGAATATCGGGTTACTTGTACATATACTACCTCCGAGTACGTATTACAAGATATCTACATGTACATGTATGCAGGTTCGATTCCTGGAACGCACATGTTGTTGTAGTAAGAGACTTTTTTCGCAATAATTTTTAGTTTTTCCGTAATCAGAGTGTGCAGTTACCTGTTTTTTTACGCGTGTCCTTCGCCAGGATCTCCCACCAGAAAAGAAGCAGAACGGCAAGCATCGACTTTCGTAACCTAGAGAGCGAAGTTCTCGAACGCTTGGCACTTGTCATTGGTTGTTTTAAAATAAAGTGGAGCGGTTGATCGGTCGAATAGAAATGTACTGAGTCGCTGTTTTAAGGTGGTTCCCCGCTGCTCAGTCACCTATCCTCCCACTGAACATGATTGTTCTTCGGATTCTGCTGCCCTTTCTGGGGGACGCTGGCTAGGGGTGTGCGGATAATGCTCGAAAAGGTGGCAGATTCTGCTCGAAAAGTAGTGAAATTGGCAGTAGTTGTATTTCTCGCCGGCCGAGCGCAGCGAGATAGGCGAGAAATGATTTCTCGCGAAGTATTTTCAGTTGCAAATATGGTATCTGGTGTGTTCTTTATTGTCGCTTCTTTTCCTGACTTCTTCAGTCAGTTTTCAGTTGGTGTAGACCAGGCTGAATAGTGGCGGTCAATTCCTACAGCCTTGCAAGCTGTTGAATGGTGCAATCGCAGCACAAGTTGCTATGGTTTCTGCTGTAGCATCGCTATCATCGCCTCCGGCGATGGGCGTCCAATGGTATCTCTTGTTCTTGCTGATGCCATTCTGTCGTTTTTCAAGGTTGGAGATAGCACATTAAAGGTTGGTGTTACCGCAGATGATCCGAATACTTCAGTTGTACATATGTTCATGACATGCTCCACAGGCCGCTTTCGCATGATCAACTTCGACAATTTCTCCCAGACGACGGACCCCACCAGCCACCCTGTTCGAGGTACCGCGATCGTTCACCACCCATACCCTGATGCATCGACAGCAGCCTCGACCACTCACCGAACGGCCCTGAAAACACAAAATGAATTCGCCGGTGTCTTTGCAGAGGCGCCGGGCTTCTCAGGGTAACTCAGCTTCTGAAATTCTCTTAGTATTCTCCCAAACATTGGGATGCTAATGCCTACGTCACCACACCCATTCCACCAAACTGATGACCAAATTAATTGTGCACCATATAGGGTATTCACTAGAACTCTTTTTTTGGTGACATAATTTTTGTTTCTAAGCTACCCTCCCCAGTACGCGTATACGCCTGCCTAATCTTGTTGTTTCGTACCTACATGTACATATACATGTACATGTACTTGGTGAACAAAGTACAGTGTATCATGTTTGCGTGCAAATTAGACACTGACTCCTTGCAATAATCATAATCGAGTAATCCTTTACACGAACAGTTATTTAGCCGGATTGGTTCTGGCATTGGGAGGTTGTTCTGTGCTATGCCATCTCCTTAGTTTGAGAGGATGTGTGTGTTCGAACACCCTACTATTTTGCTGAAGTCAGTACGCCATTAATTTTATTAGGCCGTGTGTGGCAGATGAATCTGAGATGATGTAGCATTGCAATGGCACTACATGTAATAATATTATGTCATAGAGATATCGTCGCCGGCGCTTGTTATGGTACATATTAGGTACGTACAAGTTAAAATGTGTGCGAAACATTTGGCGAGGACTCCGAGCGCGAGGAGTACTATAGTCTATACTGTCATGTAGCACTCAACCATCACTTTGGCGTTGCCACCCCCAGCCATTCATTAGGCCTAGAGTGACTAGAGTCCCATGTACATGTACAGTCATGTACCTGTATGTGTATCACTGCATGATTTTTCAAGTACAGTCAGACCTCGCTTAACCGCACACATCCGTTTTCCACAAAAAAATCCGGATAGGCGAGGGAACCTGATAATCGAACACATATATTGTACGTATGCATGCCATATGCTTACATGTATAATAATTATGTGCGTGTGTGCAGGTGCATACTACATGTACTATATTTACATGATTGTAGTAAAATGTACAATCTGTACCAGCTGACCTCATTCACGTGCAGTGCTCCAAATCACATGATACTAGTGTGAGTCCGTCATGAGGGACCAGATGACAGTTTCGTTGACAACTGACACGTTTGTAAAGCACTAAAGGACTCATGACATACCTGGCCAGGGACAAGGCTACAGAAAAAACTCCACATTTGCAGAACACAGTAAAACACGTTCTAAGATGATGGCACGCGTGGGGCCACAAGGAGAGGTCCGTGCCAGGTCGAGGAAGGAACAAAGCAAGTGCATCATAGCGTTGGTTAGTCTCGTTTCTTTCCATGACGTTAATTTGTAGCTGTACGGCATCAGGGCTTGCACGATTCTACTCGTATGATCTGGAGGAGAACACGATTTGACACACATCACTAGTTGGATGAGTGCTCGGTACCAGGCACTGTCATCACTCTGATCACAGTGCTGCAATCATAGCATGCTTTGTGCTGTGCTTGTCCGTACCTATTCCCTATTGCAATAATGTGTAAGTAATAGAGTAGTGGCTGCGTGATGGCACTGCCAAGACCTAACTTGACTCCCACCAAACCGTACCAATCACATGACGACTTTCTACCTGGAGATCTAACCGATCGCACCCCACCCCTAGGCATTGAGCGACAGCGTACAAAAACGTCGCACCGTTCACCGATCACACTCATATCTCATTTGTGAGCACTGCTCGTAGACCTCGTTTTTTCGATCTCTTCAAACCACCTTCCCTTCCGCCAAGATGCTACGTGTTGCCCTTGTGGCCCTGTGCGTAACGTGCGTTCTCGCACAAACGCCAGCCCGTCCCGTCATCAGGCCAGAGTTCATGGCAGAGGTAAGCATGATTATGGCAGTGCCCCGGACACTCTGTACCGTACAGGAAAGGGAAGGGTTGTTACGTAGTGTCGCGGACACTCTGTATTGACATCACACTGCAGGACTAGAAGGGGAGTTTCGGAGCGGACAAGAATGGTTTGAAAAAAGGTCCGGCACATTTTTGAGAAGTGAATTCTCCTCTGCCGCTATTTCAGCGTGCTGTATGCTGATGTTCAAAAATTTTAGAATAATAATCCGCAAACATATTCTATCCTACTTCTATCGTACAATGTGCAGAATTAGATTCCTATGCTGCGTATGATGTCTTGGTGCATTGTACATGTATTCGGTCTCAATCGAGTTTTGCATGGGCTAAGTACAAGTCAACCACGAGATGAATATTACTTTAACGATCTCTCCGTAAAAGATGTGGGTTGCAAGTTGCATATTTGTGAGCCAAAACCGGCCTCCTACAATTATACTCTCGCTGCATGGTTCAATGAATCTTTGCGAAGACGAGTACGCTCCCGATAAACGCAATGCCGTCAGGCTGAGTGACGCTTGTTCCTCGGACAGAGGGCCAACCGCTCCACTAGCTGCTGTCCCTAGAAAACGACCGTTCAAACACAGTTCTGATTGTCCTTGTATGGTCGATTAGAGTGACACACGGCGCTTCCAACGCTGTCGTAGCACGTGCGATTTCCACGATCGGAATGTCACTGTCCGGCGTGAATAGGACAAGTCGACTCTGCGGCACCTGGCACGAATTTCTCCCTGTCAATCTGTCCCAGATCTATAACAAATGACAATTCTGAATGAAATGCCAATCGGTCGTGTTGGGTGGCATGCCGTAGAAACGTTAGTGACATTGTCAGACTAATCGCATTGGACGTTCATCCAGCAATGCTGTTACTTTTCTCACAGCTATCTTTCATAATAATTATATTATTCTAATGGGGACGTCGATGATTGTCCAATACATGTAGATATCCTTATGACTATGTCCTTGTGTTCATTCTTGTCTGTGTGTGTGTGTGCTCCACGCATATGTGCATGTGTGTCTATGTGCAGTTCGAATACCGTGATGAGAGTCACAACCACACGTCAGAAGGACGAGGTGAGTGCAAAGCTGCATTGTCTTGTTTAATAGTGTTCTCACATCGTTCGCCAACACCAAATGCCGGACATGGCAACGCGCAAAACGACTACTTGTCCAATGCCAATGGATTATCATGTATCATGGAGTTACCAATTATTGTGAGAAGACGTCGATTGCAGAACTTCCAAGGCCTACAGACTTCTGTAGCCTCCGTTGTTTCAGGATTGCGTTAATAATAATAATGACGTGCATACTACATTAATTTTGTATATCGCCATACCTATCCATCTCGCCTATCTCTATCTGTGGACGGAACTGTTGCGTCCTTTGTGAACTCATCAGCGCAGCACAGAGAAAATGAGGCTGAACCTGATAATAGTGATAGCAATGAAAAATAAATTTTCCAAAGCCAGTTTTAAACCAGGCCCGAACATACCTTGCTGACAAGTCAGTGAGCTCTGCATGACGCGAACGGCAAAGGCACTACCCCACATGACGCCTATCTCTGTAGCATTAGTACCGTGCAATGCAGCATTGTCACCATCATTCATGCGGTACGTTTCCTCCAAGGTGCATAGAGGCATAACAACTTTTAAAGCACGATATGTTGCACTGTATTCGTTCGTGGAGTAAAGTTAGTTGGTTGATGTATTGCTCCCTAGCGAGACACACGCAGTCAGAGTATTAGTAGAGCGTACAGGGTCAGCAGGCTGATCCCTACCTAGTTGTATTCTTGTGAAAAACGCATGGAGCGAAATTAGATGAACCCTGTGTGTAAACGCAGTGTGGAACGATAATGACAAGGTCGCGTTCAATTGTTGCCGTTTCCTTCCCAGGACATTGGGCCCACGACTCCATTGGTCGCCGTGCCGTTGATCACATGGAGGAGCACGAGCGCCCCGGCGAGATGCCGCACTTCGAGACCATCCTGTGGCGCTTTGACGAGGTAAACAGAATGACGTTGTCTAGAATTATTTACACATCCGACTTCCGCTGCTTTGTACACAGTTGCAGAGTATATGCTTAGTTTCCACAATGTGGAATAATATAATTAAAAACGAGAGGTTCCAGGCTGTCCAAGAGAGTGCTCAATACCGAGTGGTAGAGCTGGTTCAAACAAAATGAGGACAGAGAAAGTGTTTTTACTCCGAGTTTCACGCACTAAGCGATCATCAGAAAACAGTAATGAGAAATCTGGATCAGTCCGTGAAACTCGGAGAAAAAACACTTTCTCTGTCCTCCTATTGTTTGTACAATATAATTATATGGACATCATGCTGCCAGCTAACTATCACTAGAAAGTTGAAAAGACTGGTAACAACAGAATATGTTCATCAAGAAATTCCCAGGATACTAAAGTACTCCCATTACGTGTCCTTCTGTCGATAGTGCTTCGTGTATAATATTATAATAATCAAGATTCCTTGCAACCCTAGTAAATGTCAATATCTTTGAAAAACACTCTGCGTCTACGCACCAAGGTGAATTTTATATTCAAGCTATCCCTGTAACGCATGTGTATGTTCCTTTGTTTGTCTGTGCATTCGGAATCGTACAACGGGTATAGCACGTGGAGTACTTTCTCACTGGGTAAGTCTAAACTACATGCTGCTGCTGCTGCTGATGATGATGATGATGATAAAACACGAACCAGTATACTTATGGTGATATGCTCCAGGAAATGCCTTTTTAAAACGTCCTCTCCATTGATACCAGTTTAGTCACTGACGACTGAAGTCGTGAAGGTACTAGAAGCTCAGTTCACATGAAAAGGAAATCCCTGTCCGAAAATGACCTGACCTTGCGATGAGAATGTAATTGCTGGATGTGCTCCTCTACACATACTGTGATGCGGCCGCAAATCTGGCCGACTTTATTTTTCTTATTTTAAATAATGCCCCTGAAGGGTAACCACAACAAGAAACCAGCGTTTTGCATTTTGTTCATAATGTGTATCGGGCCTCTTCCACCCTCATTTACATGTACATGTACATGAACATAATCTCTGCGTCTCCTATTGTTCTCTTATACCCGTGGTCGTGTTTAGACCACGCAACCAGAGCCATTGCGAGAAGCACGCCCTGAACGGATCCGTGCCAAACCCATTCGGCTGGCTGGCGCAAGCACACTACCAAGGCAAACACGAGGTTCCTCCTCACCAGGAGCTCGAGGTCTGGGGTGCCAAGGTAAGAAGAGATCTGATCGATCATGGCCTCGTTAAAAAAAACCCACACTACATTCATGTACAGGAGTAGGCCCAGAGCAGGATTGCAGCAGCTGCAAGACCAAGTACCGATGACATCATCGATAATCGCGCCACACTACTTCTGAGTAGAGGAAGAGCTTGTGGGGATCCCTCTCGCCTCTGGTGAGACCATGAAACCCTCATTCGTAGAACAGTTCTATGGAGATTTCCCTTCATGTAGGTAATGAAGAACATTGTCACTACACCATCAGTCAATATAATATCTGCCTTGTCATGTTGGGCCCTTAGTCATCCCCCCCTCCACCCCCGTCACCACACCTCTTTACTTGAACGCTTGCAACAAGGAAAAAAAGTTGGTGAGACGACAGGGCTCTAAAGATTGGCATCACTGACACGACAGTCACTCACATGTCCGTAGGTTTGTCTGGCGGTTCGTCAGCCCGTCCGTCCGTATAATTATCTGTCTGCGCGTTAGACTTCCTGCATGGCTGAAACGCCAATGCATTCATATCGGACCAGTTCAATATCCACTGGTTTGAGGGAAAATTTACTATCCTTATGCATTCAACTCAGTTATTTCTTGTTATGCGTTACATGACTCGATTTGGCATTGGTGGTAGATCTGATCTACTCTTCCCCCCTCCCCCCACCCCTTAGGAGCTGCATCTGCGCCTTGATCTGTGAGGGTGGTGGCGTACCAGCGGATGCGGATAAACTGGTCTCCAGCCGAGTCTCACGCGAACCGTGAATTTTTTGGGCTTTGTTATTTTTTTAAACATCTTCTAAACATTAGCATCGACATAGCATATCTATTAAAAAATTTCACGGTTCACGGTTCACGGTTCGCGTGAGACTCGGCAGGAAGCCGGGCTTTCCGCGTCGGTAGGAACGCCACCACTGTTCAAGGATCAAGGCCGGCACAGATGCAGGTCCGAAAGCGGTGGAAGGTAGCATGTCCATACTCACCAACTAATTCTTGACTGTCTCTTTGTCTGCCCCTTGTTCGCACTCTGGTCCATCGTCTGTTCTAGGTTGCTGATACCACATTGGAGGTTGGTGTCACCTCAGAGAACACCAACACGCCAGTGGTGTTCATGTCACGTTCCTCAGGCCGTTCGCGCATGGTTCACTTCGACCATTTCACGCAGACAACGCCGCCCGCCGCCCTGTTCGACGTACCCGAGTCGTGCAGCAGCCGCTCTCAGCCATCTCGTCGCCATTAAAATTATTGATTTTGGTGGTTTTATCGGTCTCGACCCCTCACCAATAGGCTCCAATTGGCCTGAAAACACAAACTGGATGCCGCGAAAGCTTTGGACGTGAGATGGACTTGTATCGTAGACACAGAACACGGAATTCTCTTGTTTTTCACACAACAATACATTCTGGTCAACGAAGCGACTCTGTCACTTTGCCCATCTATCACAAGACGTCATGATTCTGCCTTTTTGTCGCTGGTTTCACTGAAATTTGTTATCTTAGAATTCTTTCCACCGCGGGTAACTACACTCGAAGCACAAGAGCTGGTCTCTATTCCATTATAACATTGTGTTGACATATACCAGCTAGTCTGGCTTGCGCTATTGTTGGGTGCGCTCCAATTGCATACTTAGAGCGGACTAGAAATCCTTTTTTTTTAATGTAATAGCACTAAGAGTCATGGTGTGGAAGCTAGAGTAGGTATTGGCTGTGATCATGGTGATAAAAATGGCGATGGATTAACTGAACTGTCCATATATAGAGCGCCGTGTGTCACGGGGGTCTCAAAAAGTAAAATTCACTTGTAACCATACGACTCCCTGCTTGTAACATCATCTTGTGAAGCAGAGCACTACAGACAGGACGGACTGTGTACAGCTTCTAGGTCAGCAGTGGAGGTGCTGTTCACACATTGTTGCGTGTTCTGTTGACGTTTTTATTTGGCTCTCGTCTGCTCATTGGCGCTCTGTCTTGAGCGTATGTAGGCGCATTTTTAGGAACCAACTACCAGAATACAAAGGCATATTGCTGGGAGTACAGTCACCTACGGACATGGCAGGTTGCACTGTGCTCGAGTTTAGCAGCACTGTGGTTATGGCATCAATGAATTGTTTCGCAGGGTTTGGTAGGGATCAGGTATGGATTGTATCACGCTTTGCGGGCCCTGACGCGAGGCAGGTTCGCAGCCCATTGCATGACTCCACCACGCATGGTCAGACAGTGGCAAAATAGCGTGTAGATGTAACTACAACGACACCAGTTAGTTTTTCACGTGCCAGTAAACGTTGTGCTTGTCTTATCCCACCAAGTTGTAGTTAGATCCTTCTAAGGTGATGCTTCTCGCTCTTGTGCCTCCTGTCACCTTCCCAGATTTTTCATTCATAAAACAGTATTCGTACATGGACCGGTATTTTGTCGATACTCAATTTTAAATAATAATTATTATTTAAAAAAAATGTCCTTGAGAATCGGATTTGCCAGTTTAGTACTGTTTATGCCAAAGCCAGCTTACTGGAGCGGAGAGCTTCTTGTTGGTTTTACACAGGACCACCGTGTAGTCTGTCTGGACCACAGTAACCAGGGAAAACGACTAGTCTTGTAAGTAGTTGTACCGTAGTATCTACGTGTAGTGTCGTCTGAAGTTAGTTATGACCCTCGTGTCTCCAAGTGCCAGAAGGACATGGACTGGTCACTGATGTGATACATGTAAAGTAAAGTAAAGTTTGCACGTCCGCGTTACCACCGGCTATACAATTGCGTTGAGAAACACAACCAGCTTAGGAAGTTTCGCATGTGCCAGGCCACCACCATGCCTGTGCTACCAGGGTGGCAGATGCAGCGCCTAACGGCGAGGGTATGTGATACAAGTACAGTCATGATATTAGATAAACCTTGTTTTGTTGAAAACATGTTGTTGGTTGACAGCATGTTACAGGGCGGAGGACGCACTGTCTTCGAAAACAGTGTCCCTAGCACAACCTCCACCATTTTGTCCACGGTTGGCAGAGCCCCACAACCAACAACATGTTTTCAACAAACATAGACTTATCTAGTACATGTACTAGTACACCATATACATACCAAGGTCAGTCAAGTAAGTTAGTTAGTTGATCTACATGACCATGATGGCGGGCGCTATCCTGACATTTCATGATGTGGATGGACCAGTCAAGTAGTTCGCACATACAATGATACATGTTCATGACTGTCTGTACTCGTGGTACAGTGCTGGCAACTGAAAACCGACCGCTAGCGTCTCGTAAGAGTCGCTAACGCGGCTAGCGCACCGCTAGGGGGTCGGATTTCAGTTGCCAGCACTGTACTCTGTAGATCTACATGGTGGCCCCGATCCCAGACCCATTAATTTTGTTTCTTTTGACGCGTAGATCAATGCCAACGGTAGGCGGCGCAGCCGCACCGTTGGCCCAACGGTGCGGCTGCCAAGGTCGGACTACATCACAATCATTCATCATGGTGCAGAAACTATTCGACCCACCGCTCTGACGCCGGACTGACAGTAGCGTTTGCGTCAATTCAGACCAGGAAAGGAAGAAACTAGCCAACGACGAATAAAAGCCAATCGCGGAGGGACACTCAGGATCCAGAATTACTAACGAGTGAGGTCGGAGTCCGAGTATTTGTTCTTTTGGATATGGAAGAGGCAGAAATGCTTTTGAACAGTTAGTCTCCATTGCGGTCGTATGAGAGATGAATGCAGGGTCGGGGCTCATTCAATCTGGAATAGTTTGAGAACATAATTCCTGAGTGGATTCGTTGTTCGCGCTCGCATCGTTTCCGACCATGTATCAGTTGCAGTGTGATTCACCAGCGCTCGGAGCTGTCTAAGTCAATCCCCTTACACATAGCGGCTGTACGAACGCAGCAGATTAGTGGTTGAGTCAGCATAAATGAGACGAGGACAATTGTGGAACGGACCATTGGCATGCAGGTGAGCGATCATTTCTTCAAATTCTGCGTGTTCCAGACTTGGCACCAGATCGGATCAATGGAATCAAGGGTTTTATTAGAGTGGGCTATGTTTTGTACCGTGGACTGCCCTGTTCTTACAGTTTTGGGGCTGTACGAAAACTATAACCAAAGGTGAATATGATTCGGGGAAATTTCAACGGTCAATATTGATGGACTTGATTTCTTGAAAACCCGTTCACAATATGGGCCACAACCAGCTAAAACATGTCTTAGAGTGAAATTTTTCAAATTTTGTTTTCCTCCAGAAAACAGTTCTTGGGACCTTACTTGACCTCTGGAAGGTGATACAGGGCAGAAAAATAGTCTACAAGTGCTCGAAACACCGCTTTCAAAATATGTACTTTGAAATAGAAAATGACAGTTTTCGCACAGTCTGACACAAAGAGACAAACTATTACTTAGTGGCTTTTGTGGCGGAGCATAATACAACGGAACTAAAGATGTTGACACCGACTTGAGCATGTCAACGACATCAGTTCAAAGGCATGGCCCAAGTTCTTCCTGGAAAGCAACTCGATGCTCTGGGCGGCGTTGCACTTGCATACTCTTTCGATTCTGGCAGTGACACTTTCGATCGTCGCCTGCGTTTCCGAGACTGCGTCAGACGCCTCGTGAGAGCTGAACGCAAGTAACGTCGTAAGGCAGCCGGTTCGCCGCCTAAATGATTATGTACTAGCCCACAACTTGTGCCTCTTCGCTTACTGGAGACGACGGGGACGATTCAGCTTCGCTGTCGACATCAACATCACTGAGATCCCAACAAATTGTCAGCGTCGCTCTGCAGACCCACCGCCACGGACCTGCAGACACCTGAACAAACCTGGGCCATGCACAGCGATCGTCTGGCCCTGCGAGCTGCTCTAGTATCACTAGATGTGGACATTGTCAGTCTTTGCTCGCCAGCTACTTGAACTAGACCGCCAAACAAGTGTTTGAACAAAATTTGAGAAGATGATCGCCACTTCATGAATCATTTGAATGAAGTGCAGAGTGAACGCGCTCCAAAAAACATTTTTTTCATTTCTTCATTTCCCAACTTTTTTTACGAAACCCCAAAGACATGTTTTAGCTGATCGCGGCCCATATCGCTATTCCCTAAAAACGTACATGTACATGTAAAGGTGTTCGTTTTCAACAAAGTCCAACAGCTTGCATATCAGCACTCCATTACTTAGCACTAAAAATTAATTATTAAATAATAACTCTTTCCGTGCTAAGGACGAGTATACTCTGAGAAGAAAGTACCAAACGACTGAGGACGACGAGTACCCTGGTCTAAATATTCGCTCAATAAACAGTAGAGCATAGACCAGTGTAAAACCTATCGTAACAAAGGGTGTGTTCGAATTGTCTTCATCAACGTTTCGAACAAGTTCTTTTAAAGAGATTAGTGAAGTGTCCCAATTGACCAGTTTCTATCATTTTAGAGGTTTTCAGTGGAATTGTCATGGCGGTAATGACTTCCGATTAGATCGACCATCTCGACGTAGCAATTCCAAGCTCTTAGGAACTAATCCACCTCTCCCATCGGATGAGGTCGTGGAGTTTCGAGGAGTTCCGAGGAGACTTTCGTTGTCTGAAGAGGCCAATAAGCCACCTCTTCAGAAAAATTAAACTCCTCGAAATGTCGAAGTGCGACAATTCGAACGCGCCCTAAGTCCAACATACACCAAATGTGAGAGTCAATACCCCGTTGGAAATTTCACCAGAAGAGTCAGTGCGTTCGAGAGTCAATTGTATTGGAGAAAATGGGCCAGCATAGAAAAACTTTAAAAACTATTCTGCAAAATTCCATGAAATGCAAATATTGGTGATTTTTATTGTTGTTCTCGTCGTTGTTGTTTCTGTTCCTATTTCCATTGCTATCATTGCCAATCTTATCGTCGTACTTCAAATTATAGAGAAACGCAAGAGACCCAGTGAAGTTTTCTACACACACGAAAACCACCTCAGTGCTGTAAAGCGAAGGAAGGATGGGGAAGGACAAAAAGACGAGTGGATTGCGAGAAGACGACAGTAAGCCACCAAAAGTGCAGATCATTTAATGCATTTGTTTTTTTTAAATATTTCCCAAGGAATAAGATCTTAATCTAAACTCGCGGATCTGTTCACCAATCTGGCAAACATATCTGATCTGTGTAAATATCCGAGTATGTGTTCTTGACCTGAGATGAGCACAATTTAACTATGACACTGTACACAGCGAACGACACCAAGACAAGATCAGACTAGAAAAACACTTTGAAGTAGTAACAAAAGGCCACCAGGTTATGATAATCACGTACCGGGCACGTTCATTTACAACTTGTTAGCAATTAATTCCCTTCCTGTGTTCAATCCCACTTGTTTCGTTTTACTCAGAGACGAGTCAGATGTTCCTTGTAGAATGTTGTCGTAACAACTTGCTGAAAGCCCTATGCGAAATGATGTCGACCCCTGACAAGATGATCCGGCAGAAGTTCCTCGAAGCGCAGTACTACCAACATCCTTCAATTCCACTACCGGTTTGTGAATGCCAGATTGTATATTTGCCTTTGTTGTATTGTATTTTATTATTGTACTTGGGCATTTCCAACAGACCCTAAGATCTTCTTAGAGGGTTCCCAAAGCACACGCATGTGTTCAATTCTTGGAGAAATGAATTGGGGATTACCATTGTAGTGCTTTGAGCGCCATCAGCGCCGTTCTATCGCTTCAGCAATTGTTGCAATGCAAGATAACTGCTTTCTCTTTGGCCTGCTTACATCGATTGAGGGACTAGGTTAATGATTGGAAAAGTTACGATCATTTGCATACCCTCGCCCTGTAATGATTCTCATCAAAAAGCAATGTACACTCAGGACGTAAAATCATGATTGCAATAGTACGGGCTCAGAGCCTGGAGATCATCTAGAATCACGTAATTGTACGGGATCAGCAGAGAATAAATCTTCTAGCTGGACCTTTCCTGGCATGCCATTGTTTGGATTATCAAGCTGAGTCTGAGAACATTACTGTCATGGTCCGCACATTTATTTACCCCCTACACATCTTACCTCTGCGAATGTTTGCACATCTCTGCGCATCTGTGTACGTATTGGTGTAAAATCAATGGGAATCCAGTGGAAAGAACGGGGCCAACACCCTTAGCTCGCACACATGCACATACCTGGTCCTGGTCCTGGTAAACACTGCCATTACGGTCACGTGTCCCCTCGCGGGGCCGACAACATGGAAAACGACGCGCGAGGGCAGAAAGTCGGCAGTCTGCCGAGAGATCAGGGACCATGTTCAATCGGCACGACGAGAGAGCCATCTTCGGCAGCTATGGATTTGGAATCCACGAGTAGAGCGGCAGCACCGGCCACAGGCCCCGCAGTGGGCCTTGCAGCATGAGAGGGCGAGCCGCACACGCGGCGGCGGAGGAGTCGCCTGAGCAGCAATGGTAGACACCGCCGCCCGACACGGAGCCCGAAACGATGTCGCGTGGAACACACACACACACACACACACACACACACACACAGTAAAAATGGACCAACAGTGCTCGCGGCCGCACGGCCAGCACCCCATGGCCGCTTGAATTCTCGACGGATTTCAATGTCCGCAGCAGTACTTGTACACAACTCTGTTCGTGGCCGTGCACATCTCTGCACTTATATCCACACGTACCTCTGCACATCTCTGCATGTAAATCTACACGTACCTCTGCACATCTCTGCATGTAAATCTACACGTATCTCTGCACATCTCTGCATGTAAATCTACACATACCTCCACTCCTCCCTCCGCACACCTCTACAAATACCCCTGCACGTACCTATATACATCTCTCTGCACACATACGCACCTGTGCAAAGTTCTGCATGCACCTCGGCACAGCGCTCCACGTGCCTCTACTCGTTGTACATGTACCTCTGCAAGTCCCATTACAAGTCCCTTTAGACTTATCTGTGTTCCCCTCTACACATGTCTATATTCCCCGCTACACATCTCTATAATCACATCTACACATACACGTACATGTACTTCTGTCAACGATTGCATGCCAGCGATCCAAAATAGCGGTCGTTCGACCTGCCGACACTCAGATTTCTTTGAGAACATCCACTACCACCAAGGCACTGCTCTTTTGACCGATCCACCTTGAATACACAACAACCTCCTTTCTGAAGACACTTACGATAACGATATTGATACACACCGTTATCCTGTTTTATGGTGCATGCTAAATAAATTCATCGAGAGCGTTTCTGAATGACGTAATGGCCAAAGCGCTTGGCTACAAAATCTCATGTGTTGAATGCTTTGTCACAGCCAAAACATGTTGAACATTTTAAATTAATTTCTTGATTTGATTTAATCCAGATCTATCTTCTCTGGGTTGCTCATTCTTCGGACTCGAGGTCCGTATCGGATTTCCTCAAGGACACATTTCAGCACTGTATGACTGAGCAAGAGCGCAATGACGTAAGGTGTTTGTGTGTGTGTGGGGTGGGGGGGGGGGGAGAGTGGAGAGCTAGTGAGGTATAATTCACAGCAACTCTTACCGATATATGTACAGTGACAACTGTCCATGACAACCACTCTAGAGAGGGCGAAATGTAGTCGCTGTTCACAGGTAGTCTCCTTTTCCAGGTTAATTTGAGTGGAAATAACATCCATTGGTCCTCTGTGTAGTTTACAGCACATTTGGTCACCATAATAGTGATCACCTTTGTTTTACTGTTCCTGTAAGTTCATGACTTTCAGGATTAGCTCTACGTCACAGTGTTGGCACATGTGTTGTGTTGTGAATGATACAGATGTTGGGCACAGTGACATGCATACAGCAATGTTACTTTTTGAGAACCCATGAAAAGGGCTGATTGTAGCTTCATGGTGAATTTCCCTCAATGCAATCCCTCCCAAACACACGCCATTCGATACTATGTGGTGCCCCCTTCCCCCTATCTCCATCCCTTAGATACCGTGTGGTGCCCACACCAACACCTCGGACACTACAGACCTGTAGCCCCCCCCCCCCCAACACCATGGACACCACAGACCTGCAGTGTCCCCTCTTCCACCTACTAGGATGGAATGTAGTGCCACCATCCAACACACCCTCCGACACTATTATACCCAGGTGTCTCCTTCGACCAAGTGACACATGCATTGACGGCCCACTTATAACCGGAAGCTATCCCGGAAACTTCCTAACTCCTCTACGATGCACACGAATCCTTCTTGAAGTATACTCTTCAATTAGAAGATCTCGAATGGAATCTCCGATGATTGCGCAGAGCACTGTATTCTCCTCCATTGTGTTGCTACTGCACAGCCTGGGAGTGCTATCCTTTTACTGGCTAGTTCGACTGGTGATGTGGAAGTAGCTGAGTTGCTACTCGATGCAGAAGTGAGCCCGGATTGCCATGACGAGGTACGATCACTCACTGTGTTGGGTCTTAAAGGAA